ATGAAAAGAATGTATACAGAAATACTCCTGCAAAAATCTGGAAAAGTAATTTTCCGCACATGTGTCGAAAAGTAAAAGAAAACTTTCTCTTATTGTCTTTATTAGCTACTAAATATGTTAATGCGTCAATGTCAATTTTGCTTTTCCGCACTATGCCTGTCAAAGCACTTTTCCATACGTGTGCGGAATAATATTCACACTCTTGTGAAATTTGTCACTTTTTGTGCAATTTCTCAGGGTTATTTTTTTCTAGGTCTATCAGTAGCCTCAGTGAAAGCCAAAACTATCCAGGTATGCAAAGTGAACAATCACAAGACATAGTAGGCGAATCACAAGTAGTTTTGAGCAATATGGAGGATTTTGAGATGGCCGACTCCCAAGCTTCTCTTGTTACTAAGACTCCTCTCAATACGCAGGAACCTCACGAGGACCGAGAACCTCACGAAAACCAACCTACAAGAGTGGAAGAACCTAACACACCTGTGACTATTCCATCCAAACGCAAAAGAAAGTCAGTATCAAAAGACCGAAGTACTGCAGTGGTAGAAGAAATTAGAAGAGCCCGGACTGAAAGAACCAAAATGATGAAGGACTTGCTAAGCGAACTACGTAGCAATACAAAAGATGATACATCAATTTCAATGTTTTTTCGCAGCATTACTTTAACAGTTGAACAGTTTCCTCCAGATTTACAAACAAGTGCAAAGGTTAAAGTACTGCAGGTCATTTCAGATCTATAATTTGAACACCAACAAAGAACTATGATAGCCTACGGATCCCAATGTGCTTCAACTGGTGGTTCAACTGGTGCTTCAACTGGTTCATCATATTCTGTTCCAACACCACAATTTTTGTCACCTCCTGACCAATCGATCCCCTTAACTGCCGTTGCATCACCACCATATTTATCACATACTGACCAATCGAGATCCTCAAGTGCATCTTCCTATTTACAATAATTTTCTCCACAAGGCAGGCCGATGTCGCCAGTAATTCATCAAATGTGAATTTATTAGGTACAAATTAAGTAAATATAGAAGAAGTTCAGTTTATTTTTATATAAATAAAAATTTTTCTTGGTTTAATCGGTCAAATGTTTTTATTTTCTATTGTTTAGTACACTACATATATGTTTCGGAAAAAACAATTTTTCCATCTTCAGGTGCAGTCAATTTATAACAATTATGGGACGAATACAATTTAAAATTTTTAAAATTTTTTTAAAAAAGGTTCGTATGTCTCGCCCTACTTTTTGACGTCACGCCTTGTTTATGTTTGATGCACAAAATACCGTGGTTTTAAGCAGTCACATTATTTGTTTCACAAATCTTTTGACCTGTCCGTTTCCTACAGGCATTTGCTTACTCAGCATAGTGCACTGACACAGACGTGACGAGCCACAGTGAAGTGGCGTACTAAAAAAATCAAGTTTTTCGCTAGAAAAAATATTAGACCAATTTGTCTTACTAGTTATATTTTCAAACTTTGCTTTATCTATTTATTATTTTAGATCTTCTTGGAGTGTGACTTTTTTTATTTGGAAGGACAATTTGTAATGCAATTGTGTAATGATCTGTAATGCAAGTTTCTATAGTAGTAGATAATATTATGTCATAATTATTATTTATACAATTTATGAAAATATGAAATATGCATGTTCCTGATGACGGCCGTTTAAATAATTTTGAGAATCATTATCAATTTCTAGAAGATCTATATTGATGTCTCCAACTAACAAATTATAATTGTATTTTTATATAGCATTTTTAAGTACATTTTCAAGATCTTCAGAAACTTATCTGTGTTTCGAGATGATGGTGATCTATATATTGCATTAACGATTACAGTTTGGTTGTTTATTACTGACTTTAATGAATCAATTTACTATCGCTAATATCGAAAGTTTTATGTGAAAGATATATTTCAGGTTTTATAAATACTACAACACCATCATTTCGATTTAATGTTCCAAAATTATAAAGAGAAATATATCCTGGCATTTTGAAAGTTGAGATATCGGGTATCTGTAATGTCTCCGTTAGCACAATACAATCAATGTTAGAATCTAATTCAAATAAAAAAAAATTAAATTCACCTAATTTTTTTGACAAACTCCTAATATTGTTATGAACGATTTTAAAATTAGGGAATTGTTTATTAACATCTATAATTTGCTTAGCTTCAATTACATTTCCCAACTGGAAATTTTCAATTTTATCGAAAGAGAAATTTATAACATAAGATAAGGGTCCATTTTAAAATTGTGACTAAATAAACTAAACAATAAAAACTATAAACTGAAGTTTTTATGCTTTGGGTATTGATTTTTAGTGAGTGACTTAAGGTAGATTCATACTATAGGTCCGGTCACGGTCAGATCACGGTGCGGTCGCGGTCCAGTCAAATATTAGAATATGCAATTTGTATTAAAGAATTCATATTACTCTGCACGGTCAGGTAACGATCTAGTCAATTGACCGCGCTCTTTCTTTCTGCGAATATTTTGAACTTTTTCTGTTGAAAACTTTGAAAACATTGCTTGTTTTAAATTAACTGACAAAAGACTGATGAACGACCGCAACAGCGTGAATAGTTCATAAAAAAAGCTGACCGCGACCGGACCGTGACCAGACCTATAGTATGAATCTACCTTTACTGGAGCAAATACGACTGATAATTATAATAATTAAAACAGAGGTAAATAGTAGTACCTAAATCTAAATATTAATCTAACAAAAAAAATAACTAACAATTTCAACACTATTTCACCAACAGAATATATTTCAATAGTCCAGGAGCTTCGGTAACAAAAAATCAAGGAATCATGAGAATCGTTGTTTAATGTTTCAACAGCTGGGTCTAATACTTGATTTCCACCTGGGTTTATATTTATTGATTCTTCTAGCTGTAGCAAATCTTTGTAAAAGTACTTTTTACTATCTATAAAAAGTTTGTTTCTAATATATACACTTTCTGATTATTTTTATTGGCTTTCTTCAAATGTATAACTAGTAATTTTTTTTCTATTCTATCTTGAGTATTTAGATCTTCCACTAATGACATTTTTTAACTTTTTACAGCTCTGCAGTACCAACTTTTTAACCAAGTATCTTAAGAATTTTACAACTATAACTTTTTTGTTATTCTTTCCAGTAAAGCTGTATATATATTATCAAAATCTTGAGCGGAGAGTTCAAGATTTAGTAGATTTTCAGAAAATTGAATCAAATTCGAACTGCGAATTAAATATTAGTATTTTCCTTTCCCTTCAAAAGATTGGTTATTCCTCAACTTCCTGTAACTCTTTTTCGAGAGATTCCACTTTCTGTATATTTGGCCCAACAAGTTTTTTAACTTCGTTTATTTGTGAAGTAAAATATGCCAATAATAATGCTTCATTGCCAGGTAAAGTTGACTCGTCCAGTTGAATAGAAAAATGAGTTGTTCGTAGATAATCACACAAGAAACTTTCAACATCAGAGCTCAATTCATTAATACGTATTTGTCCAGTGTTGTTACTCAAAGGAATTCTTTTGAGTATGTCAAATGAAGATTTGTGCAGAACAGTTTTTAAAACCTCTTCAACAACAGGGAAAATTAACTGTTCTCTAATGGTTTGCGGTTTTCCGGATTTTGCGATAAGTAATGAGATATTAAGGGATGCCCGCAAGTCATCATCGTTGCTTTCAGATGTTGAAGAGAACATATTGTGCACGGTGGGTCTCTTTTCATATTTTTCCTTTAATATTTGGAAATATTTCAAATCTTTACCTATTTTATCAGGATGACACCTTCTTAGATGATCTTCCACCTTTGATGGTTTCATAGAGTCATTGCTCAAAACTTTGTTGAATAAAAGGCATGTGGGCAATCGTTTGTCTGCCTTTGATGGAAGAAAACCAAATTTTAAATATTCAACACTGTAGTGACGATACTTCTTCTTAGATTCGGCCATGTTTTGTATCAAATACCTACCTATAAATGTGAAAGTAAATAAACAAAAAAAAAACTTTGTTTTAGTAATCTTAAGGCGATTCGAGCTTAACAGGATATGGCTATTTTAACATAATATGATTAATCAATTATTATAAATATTATGAAATAAACAAAGTTCCGGCTGCAAACTGTTTCTAATTATTAAAAACAATAAATCGCTAAGATCCATAATAGAGTTTTATGAAAAGGGCTGAACTTATTTTAATGTGATATAAAATTATTATTTCATTTATTATATTTTAATATATTTCTGTAAATTCTATAGAAACTTTTAAACAATATTTTGATATTAAAACTCCGCAATAATTAAATGAATTAGATAGGTAATAAAAATAAAGTAGTTCAACGACAAGTCTCGACGCGTGTACTGAATATGGAATATGCAAGTTTTTACGGGTAACAGTCGCTGAGCTTCTTAAAATATTATTTGCCTATATTGAAAAGAGAAGTCAAGCCAACATTTAAGTAACTATTTTTTATTACGCCCAACGTAGACCCCCGTCGAGTCTCCCGTGGACCCCTGGGGGTCCACCTGGACCACTTTGGGAAATACTGGTTTAGACAAAATATTTAGTAGTTATTAAAAAAAAAAAAATCGTTTAGGGAACTTTTAACAAACACTATTTCTACGTCAATGGGATCCAAAATAAAAAATGATAAATGAAAATTCTATTTAATTTCCTATGAGGAATAAGCTTGCGATTTGTCTGGCCCGAATTAATTTGGAAGCACCCTGTTAAAACCCCCTTCCTCGCACAATAATTCGATGCATTGTTAGGTATTTCCAACTTTCGCACTTGCTGATGGTTGAAATTGCATCGCGTTGGTCTGATGAGTCCTAATTTGGCCATACATCATCGGACATTCAAGACTGTAAAATCAGAATGACCTTTACATATTTCTTTTCACCCTCAGTCGACGTCGTCGCCGTGGTCTCCCCCGCCTTATCTCCTAGCGCACGCCAATGTACACACTATACACATACAACTTTCCGTGTAGTGTCCGACGAAACGACGGCACGCAGTGGTTCTACTAGCGGTGACCGTCTACTCTCGGCTACGGCATGCAAGGCAACATCCTCTCTGAAGAGTTCTTTACCTCACCTTTTGCATTCTTTCTGTACCTTTACCTGGGATGAACAACTCGTGAGGTTGTCGGTACTTCGAATAAAGTTTAAAATTAGAGATTGTGCCGGATTTGTGCAGTGAAAAATATTATTTTTTGTTTTTGTGAATTATTGTTGTAAGTGAAACACTTGTTGTTGCTTGGATACTGCTGCTAGTTCTCAGGTGTTCAACACCCACGCACTTGGATATATTGATGGTGATTCGAGCTGGAGATTATTGTGTGAGTTTCAAGTTTTTAGGGTACTATTTTTAGAATTTAGTAAACAGTTTTTGTCAAAGTTTTTGGGTTAAATATTTAGACCGAACAGCTGTTTTAATCTGGTTTCTAATTTAAATACGAATTTTAAAAATAATTCAGAAATATTGTTGTATCTTGAAAGCGTAATGTTAAAATTTGGTTTTAATGAAAAATTAATAACTTAATTACTAAAAATTATATCGAATCAGCATGTAAACAGTTTTTGTTATAGAAATGCTGTTTTTAAAAAACGGGCTATGATTAATTGCAAATTTTGAGTTTAAATGGTAAAACTCGTGGTCCCAAAGAGTGTAGATATGTTATCTATGTTGGTAGGCATGTACAATGTACAGTGTGGAAACCACTTATGGAATAAAATTATTTACGGTCTTATTTTAGAAAATTATAAAAACGCTGGGACACGTTAACTTTTAAACTAAATTGTAAGTTTTCCGAACAAAAATATAAATATACAGGGCGATTCATGTAAGTCTAGCACGGTCGGTATTCTTTTTTTTTAAATGGATCATCCTGTATCATTTTATATTTTTGCAATCTCCTAAAGTTGACTTCAACGAAATATAATATTTATGGTCTATATGAATAATACACGGTGAAATTTGAAAATAATAAAAACTATTACGCTAAAAGCTACGGCTGCTTTCGACTTAGGTATTTATGGACACACGAATTTCAAAATATTTTTTGTACTATTAGAAAGAAGAGAAGTTATATATTATGAAAATAAAAAAAAAAATGGAGATTAGCCACGATAAAGCGAGAAATTTAATGTTAAAATCTCAAAAATTGCACATTTTTAATCAAATATTTTGACATACCTATGTGTACAGGGTTGCCAAGTATTTTAATATGTAAGAAGATATAACTAATTTTTAAACTTGTTGTAAATTATTATACTTTTATGATTTATTTATTTAAATAAAAATAATAGAATTTTATTGTGATAAAATACAAGAATCTGTATCAAACATCGCTCCCCGACCACTATCATAGATCACAGAATAATATCTGTTCATATCAGCTTATACAATTGTTTATAAAATTAAACAATAATTCTTTGTAAGTTTTTATAACTTATTGAAATTTAGGAGTAATTTCTAGAAATACAATGTTTCAAAATCATTTTATTTGACTCGTTCACTCTAAATTCTTCGCTACCCGGTCATACAGGGCCTGTAATCATTGCAGTTCAAATAGAATTATCGATATCAAACATCGCTCCCCAACCTCTAACATAGATTAAAGAATAAAATATGATCACATGCTTAATCAATATTTTTTATTACAAAATGAAATTTTTCAAAAAATTGAATTAATTAGAACAAATAAACAAGAACAAAACATATAAACAAAAAACAATTAGAAATAGTCACAAGCAATAAATTAATCTTTGCAACCCCGCTCATTATCTAGAAAAGAAATGTCAAATAATAAAATTTTCAAGTTTTAGGTTAAATTTAATGAAAGACTCGTTTTCTTATTTTTAAAAAGTATTTTATTAAAATATATAATTGATTTATATTTTTTCGTATTTCCGAACCTAAGGTAAGTTGAAATCATACTTAATATTATTTAATTCTAAAAACAAAGTGAAATTGGTCAAACAGGTGTCCAATTAAACGTAACCAAAGCTACCAGTACCATTTGGAAATGCGCGACCAGGGGGTCGATTCTCGACTCGTAGGAATTTTTTCCTATAGGAATTTTTGACATTTTTCTATACATAGAAAATTTATGACATTTCCCTACATATAGGAAAGTGTCACAAATTCCTATAGGAAAAGGTTCCTACAAGTCGAGAATCGACCCCCTGGGAGACGACAGACGAGCAAGCGGCAAATCCTACTGTACTAAAACTACCATTTCGCAGAGACCGACTTCAAAAAGTGAGGGAGACCAAAAACGGTCTCTTCACGTCTGAACACATGTAATTATATAAAACACATTTCGGTAGACGCGACCAACGACATCAGATTTATTATGGCAATATTTGCCGCCTCACTGGTGTCTCGGTCTCCTGTCGTTTGTCGCGAGTTCCCAAATGTGTTTCATATAATTACATGTTTTCAGACGTGAAGAGACCGTTTTCGGTCTTCTTCCCTGTCGCATCGCGTTTGAAGTCGGTCTCGGTATCGCCTTCCCAAATGGTATTGTTAATTAGTCAAACACAGATTTATTTATTTATTTATTTATTTATTTATTTATTTATCTAGAGTATCAACGTATTTGGGTGAATTTTAGAAATAAATAAAACCTGATACGTTCATGGATCATGGTTTTTGGAAACATTTTTTTGTCCTGCAGAAGTAAAAACTACATAGATAACGACAAAAATTATTAATAAACAAAATTGGTAAATTTGTTGTCTATTATTTGTAAAATTGTTGGTGTGTTGACATTTTACATTATCGAATTGAATTGAAATATTAATGGTGATCGGTTATGGGGATTACACTACGCTTCCTTCTTTAGATGATAAGTAAACGTAGTACTCATTTATGAGCTAGTTGTGCACCATAGTCCAAAGCCAAAACTCATAACCTCACTTTCTATGTAGTTCCCGAATTTTGCGAGCGTGGCTCACTTTTCATTTTGGTGCCAAGTTGTGTACACACGTCAAATCGAAAATGTTTTAAATTTTAATAAAATATAGGATACTATTATTATTCAAGGATCAGAAACGTCGGGCAACGACTCAAAATTGTGCCATTTAAGTAAGAAGGTAAAAACAACAAACAAAAAGGAAGAAATCTTTAACAGCGGGAGCGACTCTAATGAAGAAAATCACCGATGTAAATAGCAGAATATTTAGACAGAAAATGCGGTTCATCCAGTTTTAGTTCTCTGACAGAAGAACCAGAGATAGTATTTATTTATCAAGAGAAGGATGCAGTAGGTTAAAAATAAATGAATTATTGTTTTAGATTACAAAAGAAATTGGAGACGGACGAAGGTAAACTGGACATACTTTTTCTTTCTGATCACATTACATGTGATTTCAGATAGTGCCATAACTCAGTGAGAGTTTTATTTAAAACTCAGTGCGGGTTTATAATAAATTCAGTGCGGATTATATAGACTCAGTGTGAGTTTAGAAGCCAGTGCGGGTCCCAGGTTCAGTGTGGACCTGTTAAATCATAAAGGCAAATAAGATACTGGTTTTTTGATAGCATCAAACATCTAGCAAAATTTTATATGAAGGATGATGGCAAACTGGACACAATTACTTTCAGTTCATATTACTTTACATGTGATTCGAGATAGTGCCATAACTCAGTGAGAGTTTTATTTAAAAACCAGTGCGGATTAAATAGACTCAGTGCGAGTCTAGGACCCAATGCGGGTCCCAGGTTCAGTGCGGACCCGTTAAATCATAAAGACAAATAAGATACTTATTTTTTTGATAGCATCAAACATCTAGCAAAATTTTATATGGAGGTTGATGGCAAACTGGACACAATTACTTTCAGTTCACATTACTTTACATGAGATTCGAGATAGTTCCATATCTCAGTGAGAGTTTTACTTAAAATCCAGTGCGGATTAAATAGACTTAGTGACTTAAATCATAAAAGCAAAGAGGTTACTGGTTTTTTAATAGCATCAAACCTCCAGCAAAATTTTATATGGATGATGATGGTAAACTGAACATAATTACTTTTTCTTTCATTTCACATTACTTTACATGTGATTCCAGATAGTGCCATAATTCAGTGATAGTTTTATCTAAAACCCACTGTGGGTTTATAACAAATCCAGAGCGAATTGAGTGCGAGTTTAGGACCCAGTGCAAGTCACAGGTTCAGTGTGGACCTGTTAAAACTAATTTTTTAATGACATTGTCAAACATCTGGCAAATGTTTTCGAATCACATAACTCAGCGAGTTTTTTTATATGGCGGACGATGGTAAACTGGACGTACTTTTTTCTTTCGAATCACATTACTTTACATGGGATTCCAACTAGTGCCATAATTCGGTGCGAGTTTTTTTATAGAACCCAGTTTAGGTTTATAATATTAAATAAATTCAGTGCTAGTCTAAGATCCAGTGCGGGTTTCAGATTCAGTGTGAACCTGTTAAATTACTAAATTACAAAAATATACTAGTTTTTTGATAGTGTTGGCAAACATCTAGTAAAATTTTATATTGCGGATGCTGGTAAATTGGACATACTTTTTTCTTCTTAGTCAATTTAATTTACACATGATTCCAGATAGTAACCATAACTCAGTGCGAGTTTTATCATGAACCCAGTGTGGGTTAATAACAAATCTAGTGCAGATTAAATACAGTGGGACTATAGGACTCGGTGGGTGTCCAAGATTTAGTGTAGACATACTAAAATTACTAAGGTAAAGAAGATACTGGTTTTTTGATAGAGTTGTCAAATATATAGAAACATTTTATATAAACGCTAAAAATATTGTTCAGGTAATATTGGGAGATATTGCTATGTTCAGTTACTTACATCCAACCATTTGTTAATTGTAATTATTGGCATTTTGTTTTTCTACTTTGAGTTTTCTTTTAAGACTTGAATCAAAAAGAAGACCACCCTCTTATCCTTATCCTTAAAATTTTGGGTAATGGACTTTATATGGAGGAGTACCGAGGAAGTGATTTAAAAAGAGGTAGTTGCCTCATGACTAGGCATCTTGGGTTCAGGACTAGATATATTTACAAATCATGGCTTGTTTCCATATATCCTTAAATTGCCTTTTGATGGCGCCACCCAAAGTCAACCCAGTGACTAAGGCAGCAAATACCAATATAGCTCTTAAATGAGGGTCCAGTCTGTCCTTACTTGGTAAGACACTCATCCTTGTTGAGAACTACTATGTTGCTCGTCTCCGATGCAATAATCATTGGTAGCACTTTGAAACTAGAAGAAATCTTCTCATATTAGAATTTAAAAGAGACCTCATGGAAGTAATATGGGAGGCTAAGTTGAGACCGAAG